ACACACACACACACACACACACACACACACACACACACACACACACACAGAGAGAGAGAGAGAGAGAGACAGAGGGGGGAGGGGGAGCTTCTTTTTCTTTTCTTTAAAGATTTATTTATTTTATTTATATGAATACACTGTCTCTCTCTTCAGACACACACCAGAAGAAGGCATCAGATCCCATTACATTGTGAGTCACCACGTGGTTGCTGGGAATTGAACTCAGGACCTCTGGAAGAGCAGTCAGTGCTCTTAACCACTGAGCCATCTCTCCAGCCTCAAGAGAAGAGAGAAGGCTTCTACATTCATAGAAAACTTAATTTTTTAGATTCTGGCTGATCTAGATTCTCCTTTTTGACATGAGATACAGAAAACTAACCAATACAAGATCTTTTCTTCAAATTAAACCCTAACAGAAGACTCAAGGTATGGAACAGACAAGACACCTGTGTCTTGGGTATTCACTTACAGAATCTACTGAAAAATCCAAGGTTTAAGTCTAAAAACTTATTCCAAGTCTGGAAAAGGACTTATAACCAGTAAAGAACACAGCTTTTTAGATAATATGACACTAAACCAAGGCAAAACTCCAAACACGGGCAAGAGCCTAATCTTACAGTCATCCTTAGTTACTTGCAGGAAGCAACATCAATCTCACCATGTGCAAACTGGTACATGCAGGCGCCCACAGGACAGTATGTATGGTCACAAACTCAGGCATCCTCAATCAAAGCTAGCTACACTAAACACTTACTACACCAAGATATGCTGGGCAGTGGTGGCATATACCTTTGATCACAACACTTAGGAGGCAGAGTCAGGCAGATCTCTGAGTTCGAGGACAGTGAGGGCTACATAAAGGAGTCCCATCTTGAAAAAAACCAAAAACCAACCAACCAAAACCAACCAACCAGACCTGATTCTGTTGACTGCAACGGGGGTAAGACCTACCTTACTTCCAGCTCCTCAACTCTAAGAGCCCTAAAATTCTGTCCTAAGGATTTCCTTAAGAAATATGTCAAGTCATTTGGGTTGGATGTGATGGCACCTGGCTACAAATCCAGCATTTGGAAGGAGTTTTGTGAGTTTGAATCGGTCTGGTCTACATAGACAAACTTTCTTAAAAAAAAAAAAAAAAAAAACAAAAACAAAAAAAAAAACACCTAACAGAGCATAATAAAACCTCTGCCTAAACCAAGTCATCTGCCCAGTTAAGACATCAATTGTGCAACAAAGCTGCCTGGGGACTATAACCCAATTCTTCTAACAGCATTATTTGTAAGCCTGTGGGATACTTCCAGTCTGTTCAAACTTGTTGGCTTTCAGTAATGTTCTTCAAGACAAACTGAAAATTTGCAGCTAAAGCATTTCTAAGATACATCTGTTGGTTTGGTCCAGTTAAAGACTAGTAGGTCACTAAACAGCCAAGTAAAAAATTTCAAAATATAATGCCCTCCCTACTTTAAAAATAACTATAGCTCAGGTTCCTTACCATATACACTGTTTCTCCATTATTCACAGCTACCAAAGGACAACAGGAGAGAACCGGGAGTTAGCTGGCAAGTGCTGATACCACAAGCACAAAGCCCATTGCCCCACAGACACCTGAGGTGTGGACATCTGTATGTATGCTCTCTCCCAGTTTATATCCTGAAAGACTGGATATTCCAATGAAGCTCAGACTATTTGACTAGGACTGCAGATACCTTCTCAGAATTCCACATCTTCTAGTACTTTAAAAGATTATACATATATACTCAGTCAATTCCCATTGTTTTTGCCCTATCTACCCTTGTCCTAGCCAGATCCTAGGCATGCCAACCCACTGCCATGGTTCTTCAGGTCCATTTTACCTGTTCAGTTAAATTCTCATCTTAGATCAATGCTGCCCAGGATCTTGTACTGACTTGTACTGAATTTGGCATAAATCTTGATATTTTGTCAAAATTACTCTTCTCTGTTCCTGGCAACATTTTCAAGTGTGAAGTTCTGGTAGTGGAAGGAGCCCTACGGTTGGTGTTGGTGCCACACAAACTTGTCTGTGTTTGTTTTGTTTTTGATTGTAGGGTTTCTCTGTATACCTCTGGCTGTCCTCAAAGTCACAGAGATTCAGCTGCCTCCACCTCAAGTGTGTCACCACCACCCAGTCAGACTAGACTTGTCATCTTAGTAATGGTGGCCCAAATCACCAGTTGTGCCATGACTCCTGCCCATGATTGTCCAGTCATTTCTGCCTCCACTTTCTGTATCAAACCTTTCCCTCCCACTTGCTGTTTCAATTGCATCCCTCCAGTGTGGTGTGAGTGCTGGTGTACACACCTGTGAACCACAGTTGATATCAGCACTGGTGTACAACTTTGGGTGTCAGCTCTCTCTCTTAGACCCGTGTAAAAGACAGGGTCTTCTGTTCATCGCTATATACATCAGGTTAGTTGACCAACCAAACTCTGAGGGTTTTCTCGGTCTCCACCTCTAAAGTTCAATCACAGGAAAGCCGGGATTACAGCTTTCCTGTGCTACTGTGACTGGTTTTACATGGTTGTAAGAATCTGAATTGAGGTCCTTTACATTAATCAAGTACTTTACAGAGAGATCACACTATGTAATGGGATATTTTCCGACTACATTTGTATAAACCTCAGCAATTGGGCTATATGAGAAGTAGGCAGAGTGAGGAATCGGGAGGAGAGGAAGAGGAGGAGTGAGGAGAGAGAGAGATGTAGGAGCCATGGAGGACCACAGATGTATCAAGAGCAGTCCCTGGGTAACAACTTATATCATAAGGTTATTGGGAAACACCTCTAATTGTGTGGGCATCTTGTTAATTGCGCATTACCAAATATATAAAGCTATTGGATAATCTTTAGAGTCTTATTTACACCGGGTTCCGCGTGGATGGAGGGATGGTCTGGGCTCAGCCAAGCATTGTGGAGACAGCATGGTAGACTGGCAGAGCCATCTCCCATGCTGGCATCTCATGGGTGGCAGGGCCATGAGCTGGTGGCCTGCCGCTCATGGCCATAGGCCATGCCTAGTCAGGAACCTGGTGGCCCCTTAACAACAAGGTAAACTGGGTGCCACAATTTTAAATATTTATCTTTAACATCACCAGACCTCCATTACCTTTTAAAGGAAAGGGAAAGGGAAAGGGAAAGGGAAAGGGAAAGGGAAAGGGAAAGGGAA